AGTAGAGTACGTCACCAGACTCAAGCCTACTGAGGAACAATGATGCTAGCTATTAAGTTTTAGGAAGCACAAAAGTTACATAAATGATTACCCAATGAAGACTTATTGGACATCTCAGAAAATTAGAATTCCCAGAGATTGAAATGGAGGAAAACAATGGCAGTATTTCTAATTTCAATTATGAAAAGTTGATATGCCCTTACAAGACACCCCTTTGAGGTAGCTGACAAAATTCAGTCATGCTGCATATTTTATGAATGGGCTGCACATGACTTTCAAAGCCTTTCAAGAACTGAATATTTCTGAAGACTTTAGTGGCTGGCAAATTTCACCCAAGATATGTAAAACAAAATTCTCATCAGCTTAGCTTGGAAACATACTTTTAACTGAGACATAGAAAAATACATTTACCTTTAGGTATGATCCTATGATTTTAGTGTTCATAAAATATATTTCAACATATTATAATCTGAATTGCAGAATACTATATACACCAAAACAAGAAAGTGGAAGTTTTCCACTATTAAAATCAGTGTTGTACATACCAGTATGCAGTACATTGTCTATAAAGCAATGCCTAGTTCATTTCTGACTTCATGGAAAGCTAGCCACATTTCTTCAATATGTATAATCAGTCCTGAAATGTCCATATAAGACTGCAAGCAGCAACAGAATGTCTATATTAGACATAGTGTGAGAAAATTTATTATGTGACTCCTGGCACAAATTATTGCTTCCTTTGCTGGCATTAAGCCAGTCATACAACATGCAAGACAAGAGGTTGAATTAGCCTACGATTCTATTTGTCATGCTTTCGTTCTGAAATATTTATGCTTTACCAGAATGTTTATACTGATATTGCAACAAAAGGCATTTTTCTACTATCTTCTAGGTCCAATGCAGCATTCATTAAGTAAGAACCTCAATACAATCAAGAGCTGAAGTGATATCCCCGATAAGAGGATCTGCTTTCTAAGAAACCAGAAATTATAATGGAGATTATTTCCATGAATACATAGTGAGAAATAGTTTCCATGAATACATAGTGAGAAATCTAGCAAACAGCAACCACATAGGCAGATGCTCTTGTTTTTATGAGATTAAAGTGGTTATGTTCCCCTTATTCATAATAATTATGTCCCTCTTATTCTCCAGTCTGAGATATATCAGTGAGGCTATTCTCATTACTAGAGGTTAATTTAGAGCCATTCCCCGCATTTTGCTGGTCCAAAGAAAAATATGTGATGTGAGTTGGGCTGCTAGGAAGCTCTTGAAGAGAATCTAGATTAGAGCTGGCCGAGGAAGAAAATGTTTCAGCCAGAGGTTGCAAAGGAATGTTGTGGGAGTTTGAATCCTGAAATAAGGCAGTTACGGACTTTTTGAGGTTAGCTGGAGTGGATGGATTGGAAATATGAGCTGTAGGGGGAGATGGAGTGGTTCTGCTTGATCTTGAATAAAGAGAGGACAGGCTGGAATGAGTCATGGAGGACCCAATTGATTTTCTAGGAGGATCCCCAAAGCTCTCTGGTTTATTTAGAAGTGATACAGTGGACTCTGGCTTTATTTGAGGAATCGCTGAGTGGCTTAGCCAAGAAGGAGGGATGATACTTGGTGGTTCATTGAGATGCAACCTAGTGGCCTCTCCTGGTCTGCTTTGGTGGAGTCCAACATTTCCTAGTGCAATTGGGCTCGTAAGTACAGTCTCCTGATCATTTGCATTACTTGCTTCAAGAGGATCATCTGGAGTAAGTGAGGCAATGTTAGGGGTAGAGCTGTCAGACATCAGAGCCATGGGACTTCTTTGAAGAGTTTGCAAGGGTCTCTCTGCTGCTCCATCTTCCAAGACAGGGTTGGCTAGTCTATTCTCCAGGGAAGCCAAATCATCTGACGTGGAAGAAAGCAAATTGGATTGAATATTAATTGATCTGAAGCATTGTGGCAGGTGTATTACTTATTACCTGTATTCTAGACTGTACAAATCTCCGTGACCCGTCAAAAGCGCGGACGACAAAAGCGCGATCGACAAAATCGCGCCTTTGACGTCATCACAGCGCGACGAAAAAGATCGAAAAATTCAAATAAAAATAAATAAAAATTAAATTAAAGCAAGCCAATTCACATAAAGGTAAGGGTTAGGTTTAGGGTTAGGGTTAGGGTTAGGGTTAGGTTAAGGGTTAGGGTTAGCTTTAGAGCGTTAGCGTTAGGGTTAGGTTAAGGGTTAGCGTTACGTTTTTCGTTACTTTAACGGTTAGGTTTAGGGTTAGGTTTAGGGTTAGGTTAAGGGTTAGGGTTAGGGTTAGGTTTAGGGTTAGGTTTGGGGGGCTTAGGGTTAGGGTTTCCCTTTATTTTTACATTTTTCGAACTTTTTCGTCGCGCTTTTGATGACGTCACAGCGCGCTTTTGTCGAGCGCGATTTTGTCCTACGCGCTTTTGTGGTGGAACCCAAATCTCAATCCACAGTGAACTTGATTGTGGATTAGCATATACAAAGATGTACAAATACTGTCCCTTCCTGCTGGATCACAAAAGAGAACGTAATCACTCATGAACAAAGGACTATTTCATACAGGTTGAACAGAGCATAATTGGGAAACCTAGAAAGTACATTGTAACACATTCTGCAGCTTTGAGTATGCTAAGAAACCTGCAGAATAGAATAGAATAGAACTTTGTCACTTTAAATGTACACTAATCAGCTACATTAAAATTGCATTCAGCTCTCAAAAGAAACCATTATGCATATATCCACATACACACACATATATATAAAACACAGGGAAACATCACAGTCTAGTTTGGACGTATACATATACAAATAAAAAAGAATCCTGTGAGTTTACAAGATGGATGGTATAAGGAACAAAGCTGTTATAGTAGCTAGTAGTCCTGCTATAGATACAGCAGCAGAATTAATAGAAAAGTGCTTGCACACCAGTGACTGTCAGAACATGGAAGGCAGACTTTTTCAGAATTTGTTCATCAGACTCTCAAATATCCTATAATTGCAAATACAATGTCTCCTCTGTTCTGACCTCCATGACCATCCCAGACAATTGCGTTTTGCATGACAAACTTAATGCAGCTTCTGTAAACAGTTCTATGTATAGAATACTTTTATATTTCCTTAAAAAAGGTAGTATAATATCACACACTTTTTTCTGCTCCCCAAAGTGTTGCATCCTTCTTGTAGATCTGAGAGGATGGAACAAAGAGCAATAGATTCTTCAGACAGATGTGACAAAAAATACTTACCCATAACTTCATTATTTTGGCAGTCCATGCAGCAATGAGTCAGAGGACCAAAGGGCTCTGGACAAGTCTTTGTACAAGTCTTCCTCTCACAGCTCACCTCCCCAAGCTGAAGGGAGAGAAAATCAAAGAATTGTTCAAACCCAGCAAGAAATCACTGATTGCAGCAGGTAAATCCATTGCCTTCTGTCCTAGAGATGTTCTATATTTTTCTAGTATTTCTATTATTGCATGGCATAGTTGGGAGCTTGAATACAGTTTGCTCTCTTTGCGGTACATGACTGTGAATGCTGGGTCATCAAAAAGGCTGAACAAAGAAGAAATTATGGTCTTGAGATAGCATGCTCAATATCATGGATTGTAATACAGGGAAAAGTAATACCAAACTGATCGCTGGAAGCACTAAGGATGAAGCTGTTGTGTGTTGTGGGAAGAGTTACAATTATATTGTTCAAAGACAGGATCTCTGTTGTTTTTAGGCCAGAAGGAGTTAGGGTTGTTGCTTAGTAGGATTTCTACTGCTACTGATCACATTTGTTTTGTTCTTTTTCTTTTGGCCTACTATAGGTTCGTTCAATTATTTGCTGCACTTACTATGAATAAATGTTTGTTTAGAGACTGCAGTTTCTGCTACCTACCCTCTAGACTATTCAATAGAAATTAAAGCCATTGTATTGGATACATAATGGAAAAGCAAAAGTTATGAGAGGAAATACACACACTGGAAAAATCAGAGGTAATCAAGAAAGAGGCTGACAGGAAACAAGGCAACTGGTGGCAGATGTAGGAGTTTATGAGAACTCAAAGAAGAAATGATTGACATATAATACTGTCAGTGGAGTCTGACAGATTATCAACCACATCTTAGCTGAGGTTTATTTAAGATTTCAAAGGAAACAACAGAGGTAAAGGAATGAAGTCTCTCTTCTCCAAAACCTTTACATCTCACCTGGCAGGTACAATAAACACAGGGTTCATCTTCAGGAACAAAGTTGTGTCCATTGATTACTTTTCTTCCCCTGTAATTGCAGTCTACAGAAAAAGAATGCATAAGATATACAATTCCAACAGTGAACATACTATCTACAGACCTGTTTTAAATAAATTGCACTGGATGCAGTGGTGGGATTCAAATATTTAACAACCGGTCCTCTGCCCTAATGACCAGCTAGGTAGACGTGGCTTGGTGGTCTTGTGACTAGGTGGGTGTGGCCAACTCAATGTCACTCAGGTCAATGGGCGCTTCACCTTAGCTGTTACAATGTAATAAGGGTTAAGCAAAGAGGCAGTTTCTGTAAGCAGGTCAATAAAGATTAGGCTAGAAACAACACCAGAATGTTTCCTTCCGGCCTTCCTTACAGGATTAGCCCTGTAAAGTGGGGGAAAAACAAAAGGAGATTTCTTCCAACAACCGGTTCTCTGAACTGCTTAGAAAGTTAACAAGCGGTTCTCCCGAATAGGTGCGAACTGGCTGAATCCCACCACTGACTGGATGAAAATATGAAACCCAGAAATTATGCAAAACTCTTCATCAGTACACAGAAAACAAAACTTTTGATATAGTTTTGTAAAAGAACTATATATAGTTTTAAAAAACACACTTTTTTAAAAAAATTGACTTGCAGTCCCTTGATTGCTCATTTTTTAAAAATATTGTTTTTTTTCACAATAATTGATCTGTAGCACTGTTTACTTCTGGACTGGCCAAAAATTTCAATTCCTGCACCATTCCAACAAAAATTGGTTCAAAAGCATTATTCTGGCTTTTTAGTGCCCTTTACTAGTAAAAAAAGAAGGGGCATTTCTATTAAATTTTCTCCTGTAACTTATGTACATTGGGGAGAAGCCAGATGCCACAATGCTAAAATAAGGTCATTTATTTTCTCCATCATGTTTCTTTATTTTCATCTTAGTAGCAAAATAACTGTAGTCAATAATTGTGTTTCAAATGCAAACCAAGACACAAATTCTCCTGAAAAGAAATAGCAGAAAGCGCAATTAGTAGTATATATATTACATTTGGAATAGTCTTTTAGAAAAGCCACATTGCTGTAATGCTTACCGTGACAAATTGGACAGCACTCTCCTTCTGGATGGAAAGGGTAGGTACAGGATACGACGCAGTCCACAGGAGAACAGGCTACAGAGCCCAGCTATAAGGTCCATGCACAGACATACATAGAGTTATACATGTACACACACATGCAGAAGAATATGCACACACACACACGAATCTATATCAATGGCAAAGCAATATTATTATACTGCAATTTAAAATCTTCATCTCCTAACACATTTTTTTAGGTTTCCTCCCCTCCCTTATTTCTATTTCTTTCCCTTCCCCTGCCCTCCCCCAATAGCTCCTTAGTAATAGTTGTAGTCAGGGGTACACTTCTTGTAGTATTACAAAATAATGTTACACAACAATATTAAGAAGATGTGTTTCAAGAGTCAGGAAAATTCAAGAGAGTTGTGTTAAGTATAGGAGAAAAGTGCAAATGGAACATTATGAGCAATTTTCAAATTATTCCTTCTTGGGTTGACCCGTCCTATTATTTCAGTAAGAAATATCAGGGGGTTAATTCTTCCTTTTTTAGTCTTATCCAATTTTGCATGTCCCTACTCTCTTGGGATATCCTGGGATATCCTGGGATGTTATTCAAAAGTGGGCTGCACTTGCGTTCACAAGTGGTTCGCTGGTTGTGAGCGAGCACACGCTCCTTTGGGAGTGAAACAGAGCTTCAAAGAAGCAGGTAATCAATTCAGGCAGCTCCAGTGGGTAAAGCAGGGGCGGAGCAAAACTCAGTTGGGCAGAGAGAGCAGAGGAAATGAGCCAGAAAGTTAGTTATAAATGGATAGCTTAGCACAAGGACAGGTGGGCGGACCCCACCAATGATCAAAGCTAAGGGTTCACCCGAACCCGCATGACCGCACAGCAGCCCACCACTGACATTATTACATGAAATTATGTAAAACCCCATGCATAGAAGCATGACATAATTTACATCTGCATCTCTCTGAAAGGTTATGGTAGAGTGGAGTAGATAGACCATTCACTTTTAGGAAGTGGACTCTTAACCAAAGAATGTGATGGACTGTTTGTTTGTTTGTTTGTTTGTTTGTTTGTTTGATTGATTGATTGATTAGAAAATTTATATAAACATCTACTCGCTCACAACTCTTGCTTGCTCACAATTACCAGGGTTCCACATTTTTTCAGCCTGGGGTAAGAGAAGTAGAGGACTTACCAAACAAATGCAACTTAGACATGGATCCAAGACAGAGGGGAAGGTTTCATTGTTATAGAAGATCTTCCCTGCATAGGTACAACCTTTTGTTGTGAAAGAGAAAAAACTATTTATTTGGTCAGTTTGAACCAGATGGCCTATATAAAAGATTTCAAGAAAGCATAAGACAGGTAGACATCATATGGATGATGCTTGTTTGGGGTAGGTGGACAAAATAATTGCCTTTTGATGAAAATCTTAGGAAATGTTTATCTGAAAGTACTCACGTGTTAACATGGACAGTAGACTGCTGCTGTTAAGTATTTATTGAAAAAAATTTACTACAAAAAGCAATAGTTTTGGAAATTATTTGCTTGGCTTAAAATGCCTTTGCCTGTAAATACTGCCTTCTCATAATGAGTACCTGGATACATTTTTAAAAGTATTTTTTTTAATTTTTTTTTAAAAGAACAGGAATGTTCATTTGAGATAGATTTCTCACATTTATACATGATCAGAACAATATTCTGTCTACTTTAAAAGTAAAAGCAGAGGCAAGAGGCAGAACTAAATGGTATGTCCGCTGAGTGTATTTTCTGTACAATTTCGATATAAAATCTTAAAAATTGTGTATGCATTGGTTTTCAAAACAGCTGTATTCATGTTCATTACAATGTGGATGATCAAATGAAATATTTGGTTTCCTGAGAAGAAAACAGCTTTCTGAAAAGATTTTACCTGCTGAGCAATCTGGACAGCACTGTCCAGGGATTCGGATTGGATGAGGACACATCTCCAAACAATCTGTCCTCTTACAGCTCACTGAACCATCTGCCTGTAACAGAAAAGAACTTCACAGAAACCCACAGCACAAAACGCTGGTCTGTTGTAGGCAAGCAGACTCTCTATTGCCTCCATCCCTTCTATTAGGTTCTAGAGGTTTTCTGTTATTTTACCCGCCAATGGTGAATGTTGGATGGTATCATCTTGGGAGAGTTGATTACAACGTTAGCATTCATATCCTAGACTAGAGCCTCACTGGTGTTCTGCCTGCACTCTGCAATCAGGATTAGCCCAGAGATGGCTAGTTTGAGGCATCAGTGTAATAACAGAGAAGGTGTCATCACTTCTACCCAGTGATAGGATTCAAATAATTTAACACCTGGTTCTCTGTCCTAATGATTTCTTCCAACAACCACTTTGCCAAACTGTTCAGAAAGTTAACAACTAGTAAGTGGTGTGAACTGGCTGAATCCCACCACTGCTTCTACCCAATGAAGCCTATGGGGACATCATAGCAAATGAGCAGGTAGCTGATTTGCACTGGCCAGCTGAGTTCACCCTTTTTTAAGCCATTTTTCGCCCTCCCCAGGCTCCAGAGGCTTTATAGGAGCCTGGGGAGGGCAAAAAGAGCCTCTCCCCCTCCCGGAGGACCTCCGGAGGCTTCATGAGCTTCCCTGAAGCCTTCGGAGCGCACAAAACCGGCCCTACGGGCAAACCGGAAATCCAGGAACGGACTTCCTGTTTGCTCGGAGGGTCATTTTGACTGCTCCGGAGGCTTCATGGAAGCCTCTTGAAGGTCCCTGAATCCTTCGTAGCACTCAAAACGACCCTCCGAGCAAACCGGAAGTCACTTCCAGTTTGCTCTGAGGGTCATTTTGACTGCTCTGGAGGCTTCAGGGAAGCCTCCTGAAGGTCCATGAAGCCTTCGTAGCACTCAAAATGACCCTCCAAGCAAACCGGAAGTGACTTCCAGTTTGCTCGGAGGATCGTTTTGACTGCTCCCGAGGCTTCAGAGAAGCCTCCTGAAGGTCCCTGAAGCCCCTGGAGGGCTTCCGGGGGGGCAGGAGAGGCTGTTTTCACCCTCCCCATTCTCCTATAAAGCCTCTGGAGCCTCTGGAGAGCGAAAAAAGCATGCAAAAATTGGGGGGGTCACACTTGTAGTGCGCCCATGCGCACTGGGGGGGGTCGCACATTGCATTATGGGTGCAGCATGCCTGCACATGCCCCCCCTGCACTCCACCCACTTATGGCACGTGAGCCAAAAAAGGTTCGCCATCGCTAGTATATGGCAACCAAGGGATGCCATATACCTTTGAGTGTGCATTGCTTCCAAGCAATGTGCACTCTTCTCCTAGTCATTTTGGCTTAGACTGCAGAAAAAACCAGATCCCTGATTCCTAGTGGATCTTCTCGTGTAATACATAGCTGGTACTTGTCAGTCTCAGACTGACTTTTGAAAGAGCAATATACTAATGCTTTTTTTAAAAAGTTGGGTTAATCCTAGTCCAGTGCTATGTGAGGGGTCTTCGGTGCTCTCTGAGCTTGCTTGTTTTCTTGCAGATATTTCATTAGCACTGATGATGTTACCTAGTTTGGGTAATGAAATATCTGCAAGGAAAAAAAAGCAAGCTCAGAGAACACCAAAAACCCCACATGTCGCTCTAAGCTACAAATATTTTCCTTTATTAGTACCATGGCTATGCAGAAAATCAATTTCAGCCAGGAAGCAATGGACTCTGAGAGCTGTGAATTCCTGGTTCTGTCAAAAGTGTATGGTAATTGTTTTTTCCCACTGCTGACAGGAGCACTTAGTGTGAGGAGAAATTAAGCCAAGTGGTTTCCTTTCACTTTCCTTAACTTGTCCAGCATTAAAGCAGTAAAATGGCAGACTCATTATTGAAGCAGACTGTGGATTGTCAAAGAAGGCAACACAATATACACCAGCATACTTTTTTGCCCAACCAAGATTCTGGAGAACTGCATTTAATATAATGATCTGTCTCTGCCAATGGGTCCCAGAATGCACAGACAAACATTCCTTAAAGTATCCACCTGAGTCTTCGCAGAGCTACTTAAGAGCTACTATAGCAAAGACAGGATAAAAATCTGATGATGATAATGATAGTAAAATATCATGCGATAGAAGACTGGAAAGTTAAAACTAAGTGAAATAGAGCAGGTTATCATTCACCTGGCAGATGCATAACTCACAGGGATCACCCGGCGACCAGAGTTGTCCCACTGGAAATTCAATTCCATTGTCATCGATAAAGCAACCTGGTCCAGAAAAGAGAAACAATGAAAAGAAACATCTCAGAAAAGGTAAAAGGCTCTCCCTTACCAGCATGCTTGCTAGGAGAAATATTATCAGCAATTTACATCAAAATGTCCATGGTTGTAAAAGAGAATCAAGACCTGCATGGATGGGTAGTTTGATACTTGGTTTGATGCAGTGGTGGGTTTCAAAAAATTTTTAGAACCTATTCTGTGGGTGTGATGTATTATCTGGGTCATAAACCACGAAGAAAGTAATGCACTATAAAAAAAATTGCTAGAACTCCTAGAGAGGTTTCTAGGGATTATGATCCAATGTTTTTCTACTTCTCTTCTTTTACACTGGCTCTGGTTAATGCAGAGCTATAAAGGACTCTTCTTGAGGCAGGGCCACTTCTGAATGACTGATTCCAAAGAATGCTTTCCTTAGGGAGATCAGAAGCCAAGATTATATAGTCTACTAATTTTATTTGGCTTTATATTTGCATATGCATTGATGCTGGTTTGCTGTGTGTATCTTGTCATTTTGTGTAGGTATTGAATGCATGGGTGTGGATGTTGGTGATGCTACTTTTTCTTTAAGGGAGGAGAAAGAGAATAGGATGCTCTTGTTAAAGCAATTTTGGACCATATGGAGTAGGGATAATGTTTGCATTGTGAAAACTAACCAGATAAAGAAAAAGTATACTAGATGTTTGAAAATTATTCTGTGTTTTAATCCCCTTTCATCTAGAGAAAAACTGTCAGGTCAGTCTGCCTTCTGGTTTATGAACTTCTTTTTTAAATTTAATATATCTTACAAAAAAGCTCAAAAATTAAAAATGTAAATTAAATGACTCTATGAAGGATAAATGTGTATTTTATATATTATATTTATCAATAGTTACTAGTTTACCAATGAATTCACTACTACAGTGTAAACAATAGAAGATATTATTGTAAGATATCATGAAATCTCTCCCATCAGAAAAACATGCTGCTGTGCTGCATCCTTTGATTAGTAGAAAATATTGCTTTTTCTAAAACACATAGATATACATTTCTGACAACCATTTTTTGGCATCTGGAATAATATCACTTTTCCAGTTTCTTGATACTGTATACTTATTTTGTTTGGCTCCCTCAATGCTCAATGCAATCACAATAAAGAATCAAATTCCAAAGCTTTGGTATATAATTTAACATTGCGTTCACATCTTAACGTATATTAATTAAATACAGGTAGTCCTTGACTTGCAATAGTTCGCTTAGTGACCATTCGAAGTTACAACACCACTGAAAAAAGTGACTTATGAGTTGAAAATTTACATTCAATTTGACAATTGACTCATACTTACGACGGTTGCAATGTCCCAGAGTCATAGGATCCCCCTTTGTGACCTTCTGACAAGCAAAGTCAATAGGGAAGCCAAATTCACTTAACAACCATGTTACTAATTTACCAACTGCAGTGATTCACTTAACAAATGTGGCAAGAAAAATCATACAAACTCGCTTGACAAATTTTTCACTTAGCAACGTACATTTTGTATACATTATTATTACATTAATATTATTACATTAATACACATTAATACATAATTCCCTAAAATATATACATGATATTCCATTATTCCATGAATCTTTGCATCATAGATGTATATGTTCTTGCCTGCTGGCTGCAGGGGTCTCACCTGTCATGAGTGCAGTCTTTCGGCAGGTGAAGCAGCACTGTCCTGGAGCCAACAGCCAGTCCTCACGGGGACATCCTGGGGTGGGGCATGGAATGAAAGAGCACTCCACTTCACCTTGCTGAAGAAGCACATTATTAATGAAAAGGACACAGAGAGGAAGTCATCAAGACAGATGTCCACAATTTCTTTTTTACAGAGATATTTCCCTTTTTAAATTAGGGAAATCTCTCAAGCTATGCAGTTTCTCTAGTGATTTTCTGGATTGGTTTCAATCTGGCTTCCAACTAGAACAGGGGTGTCAAACTCATGTCGTCACGCAAGGTATCACAACTTTTCCCCCCTTCGCTAAACCGGGCATGGGAGTGGCCATGTGTGATGCATCTGGCCCATGGGTCACGAGTTTCACACCCCTGAACTAGAATATAAAACTGAGAATTCCATAGTCACATTAGTAGCAACCTGCTGTTGGCAGTAGCTGGATGAAAATAGGGTGCCATCTACCATGTTTCACCAAAAATAAGACAGGGTCTTATTTTCTTTTGCCCCCCCCCCAAATAAGCACTTGCCCTTATAATAAGGCCTTGGGGAGGTCTTATTATTTTTGAGGTACAGGAAGCGGTGAGCATGGTTAACTTATGGCTGCTGCTATGTTGCAATATTTTCAGGGAGAGCTTATTTTGGGGGGAGAGATTATTTTAGTGCATGCGCTCAAAAACCTGATTGGGCTTAATATCCAGGGAGGTCTTATTTTTGTGGAAACAGGGTACTTATTATTTGTCTTATTTGTGCACCATCATTCTTAATACCATTGAGGACTACTCCAGTTATGTACAAGGGATATTATTTGTAGAACGCATTACCACATGACAGTATTCTTAGTCCAAATAACTCCATATTTAGAAAAAGGATAAAATATCTCCAGAAATATGCTCTAGGAGTTGCCTCATGTGATTGTACATGTTATATTTTTAGACTGAGTTTGACTATATTTGTTTGTTTGTTTGTTTGTTTTTGTATTTTTTATTTGTCACAGATTTCAGTGCTATGACAAAAGAAAGATGTGGCATGATTTAAAAAAAAAATGCTTCAACATTTTCTACCTGGTCCCTTCTTTGCCACAGAGCATTTGAGGACTATTAGGATTTCCCTTCGGAGGCCTCATTTAGCCAATTTCACAGTTGACATATAGTTCTGGAATACCAATAAAACTCATGTAATAGTTTCAAGTTTCTGCAGTGAAGCAGACAAAATGTTTCTCCTTCAACAGATAAGAAAAATTACAAGGGTTTAAGAATAACCAGAAAGAAAAGATCAAAGTCATCCTTCTAAATAATTGAAATGCATGTTTTCTTAGGTAAAAATGATGTAAAGCACAGACTTAAGCTGCTGCCAATGTTTATAACTCATCATATGCTTTTCATTGGGAGAGAGAAAAATGTAAGCCTATAACAGTGTGTATTTGTGTGTATGTAAGAAAAAGAGAGAGAGAGAAATCAAGAGAGACACTGTGTACTAAGTGAAAGAAAATTAATTTGAACATCCTCTGAGATAAGTAAAGGTATGCCTGAGAAACTTGTAAAAGATGTATAGAGATGTCTGAAATATTGTTGGAAATGTAATTGTAAAGAAGATACTTTTTATCAAATTTGATGGTCTTATGATAAAGAAAAAAATATTGGGGCCAGTTTTATATTTTAATTCAGAAGATTCTTTAAAAAAATACAAAATGGAAATGAGAACTTTTTCTTTTAGGACTATTGGAGAACGAACTTGAAAAACAATTGGAATTTTGTTATTATAAATGTTGACTGAAGTGAGAATTTTATATGCACAATAATGGAAAGATACGTCAATTCCCACAATGGAAGAATGAATGGAAAAATTGATGGAGAGATGACAAAATTAATGGTTTCAATAAAAGGAAATAATGTATACAGTTTTATTTCTACCTGAAACCACTTGTGGACTTTATGCTCAGAACAGGAAAAAAAATGATCCTGGCTTTTGATGATTAGATTATACTATTGTTATAGAAATGGCTAGTATTTACTAAACATATTAAGTAAAAAATTGAGGTATTTTATATTTTACTGCACTGAAAAAGATTGGAAGTCACTGTTTTTGTTTCTTTCCCTCTTATCTGGCACCTTCTTCCTTTTTCTTTTTCCTTCCTTAATCCTTGGAAATTTTTAAAACTGGAAAACAGCATAGAATTTCGATGTAGGCTCTTTTCATTTATGGCCCTCCAGGTCAGTAGATTTGTAGAAAATGTTTTGCTTT